ACCGGCTCAGGCAGCTTGTAGCTCTGTGTTAAAGGTCTACTTATGATCAAGTGGTCAGCTAGGTTAAAAGAAAATACACCCCAAATCAAAACAACTTTTCCGAAGGCATACGAACACACCGTACTACGCTATTAACCAAGTACTTTGATTGTTATCCTCTAACAGCTCAACTAAACAGTGCACGTAGCTATTAAAAAGGAACATACCGATGGCTTCCAGAGCCGAATAATTCAAAGAGACACAGAGGAAGTGTTGTCCATAGCGCTTACTAGTTTCTGGATAGGAAAATTCGGCAGGTTTCATCGAAAGCTTGGGCACGCTGTGGGACAACCAAAAACCCGGATCATTCTCAGTAAATGCAAAAAGTCCTAGATTTATTAGAAAAGTCCAGAATTCATCATACTGCAAAGCAGTCTAGTGACAAAGCGTAAAGCACCAGTGTATCTACCTTTCATATGGCCATACCAAGGATTGTAGGTAAAATTGAGAGTAGGAGACATCTCATCGTTGTACATGCCATAAACAAGGCCAGGGTCTGTGCTGTTGAAGACTTGATCAAAGGTAAACTTCAAAAACCCGTTTCCTCTAAGGTCGGCGCTTGACAGACGCCATTCAACGTCGTTAGGGGATAGAAATGCATATGAAAAACTATTGGGGAATTTGTAAGCTATGTGCCTGCATGGGTTGAGAAAAATAATGAATGCTGAAGCGTCCGTACCAATCAACAATTCGATTATCGTCATCACGACATCCAAGCTGGCTGTGTACTGCGAAATACTGCAAGGATAAAAGAATTTGGAGTGTGCTGAAGTAGCCCATAATCGTTGAAGCCTGAAGAAAAAAGAGCTTAAATTCGCGTGGAAATTTATATTCCGATAAGCAGGCTTATAGAACTAGTGTAAACTGGTCCAAATCATCCAAGTTAAGGTTAATGGATCAAGGCACTGAAAAGAACACTGCACAACATTACCACCAACCGACCTAACCAAACCAAATGGCGAGGGAACATTCAGAAGACCTTGACCAAAACGTTAAATTTGATCAACCGAGAACCCAAGATGCTCAACAAATGTTAGGGCTCCCAACTTAATATTCTTTTCTTGAATGTGCTTTGCTAAGTTTACCCAATTGATCAGGATGTATAACGACATAAATCTTATTTTGATGGGATCCGAACCCAGACACCCATTAATTTTAGCACCCAAATACGTTGAGTAGTAGCAGTCACATAAATTTCGGAGCAAATGTCTACCGAAGCGTGTAGACCAATCTAAACCAATCTCATATTCAGGCTACCACCTTTGGTAAAATCCTCATCTAAGGTCCCAACACCCAACAGTCATTGTTCTGAAATTGTAGGTCGAATAAATCAGCACCTAGCACCGATATCAGCTGAGGGACCTGACAACTCGCCACTAAATACTTCTAGAACTCACGACGCAATATAGAAATCCAAAACAACTACGCCCCCAATCCTTGTACTATGCAATTGCGCGACTTTGGCGCACCTACGACGAAAGCCCCACACCTCAATGCGAGGTACAGCCACCACGCGACCATCTACCCATCTAAATTCGGCTTAGAACGGCGAGCATAGTTGAGCGGCAGGTACACTCCCCGACATCACAAAGGGGGCGAGGAATGAAATCACAGGAGACAAGACCCCCCCCCCCGCCAAAACCTACCAAACTAATCATTCTGAAGGTTTACCAACTTCTCGGATATATTAAACTCAGAGATGATTTCCTTTTCTCCGCTTGACCTGTTTGTAGATGGAAAAATGAGTGAACAGACCTGTGTTTCTGGCCTCTGGCATAAAGGACATTTCCAAAGTACTCAAAAATAATACACAGAAAATATATCTCATCAAAGAGGACAAAGAGTAGAAAAGGTAAAAGTAGACCACAGAGTCCGCCCAAAACATCATCACCATGCCTCTAATGCGCCAATTAGGCAGGCTCACTATTCCTCTCAGGTATCACCACCGTCAGTGCTCCACCAATCACATCACCCCGCCTTCGCTCCTCCTTGTCTATCGACTTCACTGAGGCAGGGGGTGGCAAGATACCATAGAAGACGGTGGCCGTGATCACCATGACGTTACCGACCAAGAGATGCACAGTCAAGGGTGTACCAAAGAGCAGAACCGAGGCTACAAGGGTAAGTACAATGGCCACCGAGGTTGCAAACGTCTTGAGGATATTGTCCGCGTAGCGTACCACTGCGGCTACCAACAGCCCGCCCAACGACTGCACCAGGATAACTGTCCACACGTAGCCATCATAGCCAAACAGAAAGCCATGGATGGAGATGACCTCCCGATCCTGGAGGTAGGCCTGTGCAAGACTGGCGAAGATGCCGCAGATGGAGAGTTGGATGTTCCGCATGACGATAGTCTTTTGGGTGGACTTAAGCACCAGCTCGAAGAAGACCCCTGAGAAACCAGAGAGTACGCAGGCAGTGACGACGCAGATAAGACCAAATAAAGGCCTCTGCTCCAGTCCCTCCAAAGTCTTGGCATTATTGCTAGGGTCAATCTGAGCGGTAACAACACCGAAAAAGAGGAGGGAGAGTGCAATCCAATGATTCGGGGTCAACACGCGATGGAGGAGGACACGAAAGAAGAGGACAGTTGTGAAGACCTTCAATTGGCAAGTCACCTACAATCGAATAAACACAAGAAAACTAGATTCTCCCCTTGAGAACTTAAGTGACATGAGATAAGCCCTGGATTTATGAGTGGCATGGTTTTGAGTTAGACACCATATTTACTGCTTTGCTTGAACTAAGGATGGTAGAAGAATATCTCCCCACTTTATAACATTTGGTGTTTTATGCGCTTGACTTTAAGTAAACTTCATTGATTAAAAAAAGTTACAGGCAAATCGGACTTAATCGCAATGGGGAACTAAGGGAAAAACGAACAGCATAAAGGTCGGTGTCATAATATTTAAGCAACACAGTCAAAGCATATGGTCAAAGAGTATGATCCATTGTCGGGAAAAAAGCAACAATTATACACGAATGTCTATCAAAGGCTGACTTGAAGTTCAACTTTATGGTACTTCATAAAACTAATTAGTCACACAGGCACATTACAAAGAAAAGCTAACGCTGAAATGATAATGTGAATTTTGTGCTCTATAAATTGAATAGCACGTAACACTAAAAGCCAATTATTATAGCCGAGCGGCTGTCGAAACCACCCAGGAGCTGATAGCAGCTATTAGTAGAAAAAATGTGGATAAAACAAACGTAAGGGGCAAATTAACAGATTCTGTTTGGATTTCCTGCTGAATCGGACTTTGATACCGGTGTGCCAGAAGGAAGGTTTGGAGGATGGCTACGCACGAGTCAGTTCGGTTCGTGGAAAAACTCCGGTTGAAGGAATTGCAAAAAGGTTGTGGCGTAAAGCGACTAATAGGCATAGAGTTGCATGTACACGAGCGAACTTGAAAACGGTGGAAAAAAAATCGAGTCTTCAGATAGTCGCAAAGAGATGCAGGATGCGCGAAAGTTATGATATTAAATGACGAATGCGAACGTCACACTAGTCACTAACAAAGAAGTTAGTTGCATGAGGAATGAGACAATGATGAAGAGTCAAAATAACATGCCTGAAAAACGCTGGGATTGAGATGAGAGACGCCAAAGTAGATTAGATTGTTTTGTATAGCGTACATGACACCGGGCACACAGATAAGGAGATTATCACGCCAATCAACGAAGAGGTTGGCGTGGAGGTTGGAGGCGAAGCCACGCGCACTGCCACCCTCTTCTATCACCCATACGAGAACCATGCACACCACCAACTTCACCGCCTCGCTCATAGTTACTGCAGTGGAAGGTATGAACATATCACCCGGACGTGCTCGCACAAAGCGAGAGAGTAGCACCAGCACCACGTTCTGCAGCGTCAGAAAGGTCAGCGAGCCGTACTTCATCAGATTGCCACCTGTTTAGACATCGAACACCAGACAGGTTAAAAATAGTTTTAAAGTCAGATTTCACGGACTCGAAAAAGTGTTGCGTCAAAATCATGTTTATATTAATAGTTTATGACCATATGCGTTACAGAGGTAACTAGTGCTTCGTAAAACCCATTTAGGAAATTGCAAATGCGACTATGTATCTGAAGAGTCACACTGGTTTTGAACGACACGAACTTGTTGTCCGACCCCACCCACCTTGCTTCGTGAAACGTTAACCAGCTTCTACTAAAGCAAGGTGAATAAATCTTCAAAGATTATTTAGTAATTCGATCTTTAATATGCGTGACTTCCGTGATAAAACATTAAAAAAGCCTGTCGATATAAGGCCGAAGAATGGCTAGGAGGAAAGGATGCGATCCATTTAACAAAAATATCCATTGTATCTTTGTAGCCGATCACTATGGCATTGATTGTTGTCCGCAATCTGATGGTATTTGTGGTAGAACAGAGCTGCACTCGTTCTGCCTTTGCTACTGTTATTATTCCAGTTTTTTCTTAAGCTGACAACAAATCTTATTTAAGATAAATTCGCCTTACTAACGGCTCCATAAAAAGTTCAGGTAACGTAGGCCTGCATTGCTAGGACAACCCAGTAGTGGCGTGCGCACACAATCCTAAAGTGTATGTTGATGCTGAACAACAACGAATTAGAATGCAATTTTACAAATTTTGGGGAAATAAAAAAGCAAATGGCATATTCGAGCACTGACAAGGCTAAAAAACCCCATCTATCGAAAACGTATAAAAACGTCACTTCGTAACGAGGTAAATAATGGGGACTGTACTTGTGATAGGGCAATTACCATTAAGCAAGTTAACATCTAGGGAAAAAATGTGGTCGAGATTGTGCACAAAAGGATTATCTTTTGGTACTCAGAGACCCTCAAATAGGGTGCAAATGAAAACAGGCATGTAAACATCCACAAAACAAACAACTCACCAAGATTAAACTCCACTAGATGGTTGAGAGAAAAGCTCATTTGAAAGTTCCCTGCAGCAAAGGAAATGCAGATATGAAGTCTGTACTAAACTTGCCGAATATGTGTACATATTGTCATAGGTAAGTCACCCAGATACACCAAATTCTGTAAAACCGCTAGATGTGCAACGCAATGTTAATATTTGTTATTGTAGTTGCAGACTTCAAATCAAGACTCTTCGTCTTGGGTTCTACAGAAGAGGATTTCTGCATTATGACTTTATTTGGCACTTCAAAGAGATACAAGTTGGGAGGGTAATGGAAAGGAAGCAAGGATATGAATATTGTGGTCCTATTGAGTGACCCGTACACTCCTGCAACTTCGTGTTCGAATTTAGTTTCCGCCTCTCACATACTAGAGTTTAAATATAATATAAATTACACGGCCCCCACAACCTTCGAACACTTTCCTCGGCGCCAGCCTTTAAGGTCACTTCTACGGCATCGGAAAACTCCTAGTAGTGGATGATGTCGTTCACTGAGAAAAGTTTCGACCAGTTCTGCCATACTTGTTTGGCTGCCATGCTTGTAGAGCCCACCGCCCCGATTGCGATCTTGACCGAGGCTGTTCGTAGTTCTATACATCCCAACCATACCAAGGTCGGCGCTGTGTATGTAGCCAATAGTGAGTGAGAGGTTCGCTCGAAGCAGCGCATTTGCTGTAGCGCTATGCGCACCGTGTGCAAAGCGAAAGACGAAGTACTAACCTCGAAGTTAGGTAGTGCCAGTGTCGATGCCTCTCATATTGCGCATTTTAGTCTTCTATGTGCTTGCGTGGTCGACTTCCCAGCAAAATATTTTCCACTTCTTTTTCCCCTGTTTCATCTTTCGTAGCAGACCGGCAACCTTGGCCTAACCAATGGTTTGTCAGGCCAGGGAAGCTGCAGAGTTCCGTCCGATTAGCGGGCGTTGGTCACGGCCCCACATGTTTTGCTTGATCCGCCGTGACCACCATCTTATCCGCAGAGATTGCGTGCCAAGGTAACTGAGCTTTGAAAGAAACAGCATTTAATCGGATTCATCGCTAGGTTTGGCTCTCAAAGACAGCCCAACACCAGGTGAGAATATCATCCAACCAGATAATGCAATACTTCGAGAGGAGCTACGAAGTCCAAGTGGCACTGTCTAGAGATCATACACCCCGCTTGATGCAATTAAACCTTTTTTTCTCTCCCTTTACTTACCAGCAACCGACTCTTAGAACTACTGTGGAAGACCACTTGGCCTCATGCGGAGGAATTCAGAGAGCCAGTAATGCGGTAACGGAAACGCGCCCGTCCCTATCACTGCGGTTAACCATCTATAACCGACACAGGTGTAGACTACCATCACTCCTCACTAATGTGATGGCGGAGGACCAAGATGATTTGGAGAGCCCTGTGGTGTCCTAACGGTGCTTCACATCTATCAGATGACACACTTCTTAGAAGGCAGTATGCGCCTGGATGGTGGCCTCGCGGGTACCGATCAAGTGCTTAACTGTATTCACTCGTTCGCCTCAGTACCACCTCCACCCACGAGAACATGTCTGTGTACTTGGTGAGCAGTGAATACAGTTCCTCCTTGCAACCTGTGATTTGTTTTAGTTGAAAAGGGAGATAACCCAGATAAGTCCTAGCAATGAC